TTTTCAGTTTTTTTGAGACAGGGTCTCACTATGTAGTTGAGACTGACCTGGAACCTGGAACTCACTATGTAGCCCAGGCTGGTCCTGAACTCACAGCGATCCTCCTGCCTCAGCCTCCTGAGTGCTGGGATTACAGGCATGCGCCACCACGCCCGGCTTGTCCCTTCTTTTTTGGGGGAGTGAGAAAGGATCTCACTATATCATCCAGGATGGCCTCGAACTTGCAGCAATCCTCCTGCCTCTGCCTGCAGAGTGCTGGGATGACAGGCAGGCGCCACCACACCCACCTAAACATCAACCCTTCCTGTAGCAAGACTGGCAAGCAGCGGCTGTGCAGCCGGCAGCCTGATAGAATCCAGGCTTGCGGAAACAAACGCCCCTTGTCCCACTGTGCTATTCCCTTTATGGTCTGGTTTTCAGAGAGCTGACATCTGGCAGGGCACCCTGGGCGGCTGCAGGAGGCGGGAGGCTTGGGCTGTCCAGCTAGGGGAAGGCTGGGGTGGTGAGAAACAGAGGGGTGGGGAGGGGCACAGATCCCGCCAGGAGCACCCAAGGCTGGGAACCTTTAAAGTGCCCGGCAGCGAGGCCATGCTCAGCAGCTCTGGGAAGCCAGGCCTCGCTGCAGCCACTTGGCCGGGGCGCTGGGAACAGAGCGCTCTGTGGTCTCATCAGCCCGATAAGCACAAGGACACTCAGCTCCAGGCAGCCAGAGCCGAGTCTGCAGGGCGGAGGGGATAGTGGAGCCAGACAGATGTTCTCTGCGTCACCACTGCCGGCTGACTCGAACCCATTCCATCTGCTCAGGTCTCCAGCATCACAGGCCAGACAACTGTCCTGGTGGTGGACACATGATGGCTCTCAGCTCAGGGCCCGGCACTGACCTCCCACTCATCAGTGTCACTGTAGAGGGTGACAGGAATGTCCTGGGGGCTGTAGAAATGCTTGGCTCTCTCGGTTGTAACCACCGTGACTTCCAGCTGTCACCAAGAAAGGAAGGAGAAACTGTTACTGGAACCACAAGGCATGGAGGCCATATGGGGCCAGGCAGGCAGCCCCTGTCCTTGCGGGCTGGCAAGGAGGGGGACTTCCCTACCTCAGTGGCCTGCATGTTTGCACAGCGGACTTCCGCTGTCACCCAAAGGTCAGGCCCTGCCAGGTGCAGCCATTTCACTTCCCCATGGCTCACGGGATGAGTCACCAAGTGCCCAGGTATAAAAGGTAGCAGGTGTGGCCACTCTGCAGTGAGGCTGGAAGCAGCGGCCTGGGATGGCAGGAGGAGAACTCAGCCAATGGAGACACCTGAGGTCCCAGGGGACAGAACTGATATCCCCTCACTACTTCCAGGAACAAGGCCTTGGAGATGTGGGGTGCAGGCAGGTTCCACTGCAGGCCCCACAGAACCCACTTACCAAGGGTGGATAGGGACCTGCTCCCCAGAGTGAGAGGCCCTGAGAAACACCACCTCCAGGGAGGGCCCTGGTGGCTGTGTCACCTGAGAAACAAGGTCAGATTAACAAGAGGTGGCTGGTGCAGGAAGCCACACCTTAAGGCACCACTGAGCCAGGGGAGGACATCTGTCCAGGAGTGGATCAAGGCTGACACACAAGTCCTTGGTGACCCAGCACAGTGGTGGGGGCAGCCCGCAGGGATGCTGTGAGGGTGCTACTTGTTTCAAGCTCATGCATAAACTGAAGATTTCACATGAGAAATTTGACATCCTGACTTCTGAACTACATAGCAGGATCTTGTCTCAACCCCCCTCAAAACACCCCCCAAAACAAATAAACAAATAAAACAAACAACAACAACACAATACAAAAGAATCCAAAAGCCAGGCACAAAACAGGAAAGGGTTTAGGTACCAGGGATTGTCTGGTTCTGGGAACTGTGGCCTGGAACTTGCAATCCCCCTGCCTCAGCCTCCTGCACACTGGGATTACAGACGTGTACCACCACACCTGGATGAACCTTTCCTAAGTAGGATCTTTTGCTGGTTGTGAACAGGCTGATCCCAGTCCTGGAGATTGTCCTAAAATTCCATCAAAGGTATCACCTGAATCCAAAAATACATAGTTTTATCTGCAATTAAAATTGATGGGTTTTGTTCCTTGTGATCCTGATGCAGCCCCTGTGACAACCATTTCCTGAATGCTCCCTATATATGCGTGAGCCCTGTATTAGCAATCTGGAGGAACCTCTTCTGCTTTCTCCATAAATGAATCCACCCTCCCGCCCTCTCCAGCCCCACCCCCTAGATGTTCCCACACACCTTGAAAGTCACCAGCCATGATTCTGTGACCTTAGCACCCAGAAAAGAACTTGCCTAGGTCAGAAGATGAATCACCCAACCCCACCTCAGGTCCCTTGTGTCGCTGTCCTACTTTTTCAACCTCAAAAAAGAGGATGATCCCAGCACTCAGGAGGCTGAGGCAGGAAGATCTTCACAAGTTTGAGGCCTTCCTGGATTATGTACAAGTTCAAGGACAGTCTGGACTACATAGTGAGACCCTATTACTGCCCCCCACCAAAGGACTGGGCATGCCTATAAGTCTTGCCACTCACAAAGTTAAGGCAGGAAAATTTCAAGTTCAAGGTCAGCCTGGGCAATTTAGCAAGATGATGTCTCAAAAATATATAAAGGCCTATTGATATAGCTCAGTGGTAGGGTATTCCTGTGTCCAATCTTTAGTACCACAAAAAATAGAAAAATAATAGGTAAGAGAAGATGGGAGGTCAGGGATTTAGCTCAGTGGTGCCACTCCCTGCCTCACAAGTGCAAGGTCCTGAGTTCGATCCCTAGTACTGCAAAAATAAATAAATAAAGACGACAGAGGGGATCACTCTTCTCTTTTTCCCTGCTGTCATGCTGGCCTTCACGCTCAGACACTGATTCCATTTTTTCTTTCTTTTTCTTTTTTAAGACAGGGTCTTGCTATGTAGCTCAGGCTGGCCTCAAACTTACTATGTAGTGCAGTCTGGTCTTAAACTCATAACAGTCCTCAGGCCTCAGCTGCAGTCCCGTGATTACAGCCTTGTGCCACCATGCCCGCCCTTAAATTCCTCTTTACCCCATCTGGATCTCAGAACTCTCATGCTGCCTCCCACCCCAATGGGGTCCTGAGGCCCAGGCTGCCTCCAGGCAGCACAGAGAGGTCTCAGGGTGACATGAAGTGCTTGTGCCAAGCAGGTCCTCCTGCACCCCTCCCTGACCCGGCAAGGCAGCCACGTCTCAGAGGTGACGGGGAGCAGTGGACAGGCCTGGGCTGGTTCTTCTGGTTTTTGACGGATGCCACTGGATCCAACTCATCAACCCTCTGGCTCAGATCTTTCACCATCACTCATCCAAAAGGTCCTGGGAGCCAAGGGCTGGGCCCTGGCTCTGTACACATAGGAAGACAGCACGTCACACTACCTTCTGAGACCCTAAATCACCCAGACAGTTTTCATTCAATCATTCGTTTACCCAACCTTTCCAGCAAATGCTGGAGCCTCAGCAGGGCGGGGACTCTTCGTAACTACATAATGTGTTCTTTTTTTCCATCTCCTCCTGCATCCTGGTGGAAGGCCGCCAGGACAGTTCTGTATCTAACACTTCTACCCAGAAGCTTCCTGTGCGACAGGCCGGGGCTGGCCAGACCGTAATACATCAGCCACCTGCACTTCATCTAGCAGTTCTAGAAACTCCTTCTTGAAACCACTCCACCAGTCTGGTTTCCTGTTCTTGGCTGAATAGACAAGATCCTGATCTGGCTGAGTGTGGCGTTACACACCTGTAATTCCAGCACTCTAGGAGGCTGAGTCAGGAGGACTGCAAGTTCCAGCCCAGCCTGGGCAATTTAGACAGGCCTATGCCATCTGTGTTTTCTCACCTGGCAGAGGGGAAGGCTGCCCCAGGGGCCAACACCAGGTGATCCTGGTATTAAATTAGGTAGAAATACAGGGTGTCAGACAGGGACAGACCCTTGAGGGAATCAGCACAGAGGATGAGAACACATATAACTGTGAATGGGGGTGTATCTGCTGAAGGCCAGGCCTCAAGATAAAGACGGAATGACCAGGCTAACATCCCTTTCCAAGGGATACGGAAAAAAATGCAGATGATACTATAATTGGTATCACTTGGTCCAATAACATCTAGATAGACATCAGTCACCCAAGTGGGTGATCAGGACCCCCTCATCTATCCCTTGCTAAAAAGGTCCTTGTTCTTTCCATGTACATTTGCTACATGACCTGCTTCCCCAGTGGATCAGTATTACCTAAGTAGCTATACTTGTAATCTTATTGCTTGATCATAGTTTTGACCCACATTGTACCCACCTCATAAGTTTTGTACCCACCTTAAGATTTTTCTCTATTAAACTTCCTCTGTGAAGTGGGGTCCACAGCAACCCACTTTTAGGACCCCTTCCTGTCTCTCAGGAGCTAGCTCTCAATAAATTTTTCCTACTCTTAACCTCCATGTTCCTTGGAATTCATTCTTCAGTTCTGGGGAACATGAACTTGACCTTTGGTAGGCTGGGAGTTATATTATTTCCCCTATATCACTGGGATGGTCCTGGTCAGCACATTGCACTGGACTCTGCAGTGCAAAGCCAGAGTGATGAGCTGTCCCCTGAAGGATCAGAGGAATGGGGACCCCATGTGGGTAGGGGACAGGTTGTCTCACCAGCCCCAACACCACACAGCATGGGGAGAGGGCTGGACAGGAAACACATGTTGTCAAGTGTTCCCTCCAGCCATGCTGTACCTGGCTGGCACAAGAGACAAAATGTCATCTGTGTGCTGCATCCCCAGACCACACGCATTCCCAAGAGGCCAGGCAGGGGGTCCCTCTTAGCCTGGTGCCCTCTGGCTCCAAGCTGCTGCAGACCTGGCCTATCTTCCTAGTTTGGCCAACAGGCTGGGGGCTGGGCACCTCCCTCCTTGTCTGCTGGGTCAGCACACCCCAGCCACAGCTGTAGGCTGGAGGAAGTGGCTGGTGCTGTCCCCCAGTTCAGCTGCCCATCTGTTTCCTGGGCTAGACCTCCTGTCCTCACCCGCCCAACAGGAAACCCACTTGTTCCCGGTCATGGGAAAGGAGTGTGTGGCTCCTGCCTCCCTGGGAGGTCATGGCAGAGGCCTTGCAACTCTTCTGGGCCTCCCGTGCACAAGGCTCCAGCCAGCAGTTCCCATCCATGGTTCTGGCACCTGAGGTGGCCACCCCTGGTGGCACTGCCCCAGTGTGCTGTGCCCAGTCTCAGAGCAGCTGCCAGGTCCTGCTTATCCAAACCTGGGGGTGGGGAGGGGGCGACATTTGAGCTAGAAGTCTGGGGCAAGTGAAAAAGCGAAATAAACCTTTCTGGTCACTGCCATTGTGGGCACCATGGGGTCATCTGTGGGTGAGCAGTGCCCTCTGCCGGAAGTGTCAGACACAGCACCTGGGCCATACCACTTTAGGGGCCTGAAGATTCCAGTAAGGAAAACACATGGGGAGGGGGGAACCCTGTGGCCCTGAGAAAGAGGCCTGGGGATGGAAGACGAGAAGCAAGGAAGGGTAAGGGGTGCAAAAATTATCTAGGACCTGTCATGTATATGTACCATTTCCCACAATGAACATCATTATGTATTGCAAACATATACTAAAAAACAAACAAACAAACAAACAAAAAACATATAGCTTGAGCCCAGAGACTGAACACCTTCCAAAACCTACTGTCCAATAACATGAACAGAGCCCAATGTGACATGAGTCTAAAAGGAAAGCAATGGCCAGGTTGGATGGTGTATGCTTATGATTCCAGCACTCCAGGAAGCTGAGGCAGGAGGATCACAAACTAGAGCCCAAGTTGGGCAACTTAGCAATTTAGTGAGAACCTGTCTAACAGGGGATGGAGCTCAAAGGCCCTGGACTCAATCCCCAATTCTGCAAAAAATAAATGAAAAGTAACAAAATAAAAGGAGGAGAATAAAAGTATGTGGGCTAGCAGGGAAGGCTTCTGCATGGACTCTGAAAAGAGGGAGGTGCAGAGCAGGCACAGGTGTCTGACGGAGTCCACTCCAGCACAGCTCATGAGGCATGAGGGCTGCAGGGACAGCCCCTATGGACTCTGAGGCCAGAGAAGGAAGCGGGGCCACTTCCTATCAGACTGCACTGTTCCAGGCTTTGGAACGTCTGCCCCAACTCCATCTATAAAACCAACTGAAGCTGAGGCTGCTTGGCCAAGAACAGGGGCAGAGTCCCTCACCCAGCTCACAGTGGTGTCCCAGGGGATGTCTCTGAACATCTGAGGCAGCAGAGTTTGAAACCAGAGCTGTCCACAACCAGGAGCTTGAGGCCTTGGTGCCTATGACTGATGGGACAATCGTGGTGTCCACAAAAGAGGGACAGGGCCACTTCAGGAGGGGTAAGAGGGGTGCTGGGGACCTGCTACATTTTCTGGCTCCTCCTCCATGGGACCTTAGCGATTAAAGCTAGGGGACAGGCATCAGGAGCCACAATTGGGGTCTCCCACACCAAGAAGCTAAGCTAGTATCTGCTCATCCCGTGCAGGGGTCTCTATCCTATAGGTGCCCCACAAGCAACCACACAGGGGACCTACACAGATGCTACCATCAGGAACAAGAAAATGGAATGCACTACAGAGAAACAGGCTGGCTTCAGGGGCCACTGAGCTGTCCAGAGGGGATACTCACTCCAGGAATATCCAAAAGCTGCAACACCAGAAGGGGTAACTTCAGGGCAGCCACACTGCCGGTGACACCCACGAGAACATGGAATTTTCTCTCCACCTGGGGTGTGGTGGCTGGATTTGAGGCTCTTGGTTCCATGTGGGGTCTGGTGGCTTTGGGTTCCAGAAACCCACAGAGCAGGGGGTCCAAGAAGTAATGAGTCTCTCAGGATCTGAAGAAGAACAAAGGGTGCCCCCTCAATTCACATGTTCAACTAACAGGAAGGTAGAGCACTGGCATGGGACTCTGCCACTTGCTGGGCTGCCAGGGAACGAATAGTCCCAGCTTCCAGCTGCTCATGTTATGGACAGCTAATCTAGACAGAAATTAATAGGGGGTCAGAGAGGAATCTAGCCCTGAAAGCAGTCAGTGCAGAGGATGAGAAACATCACAACTGCAGCTGAGGCAAATTTAGAGAGGCAGGTCTCAGGATGGAGACACAAGAGCCAGGCCTGCAGGCCTCCCCAGAAATAAACAGCAGCTTGAGATTGTACTATAATTAGCACCACCTGGTCCAGTGAGCCCAGACAGGCAACAGGTGCACAGGTGGGTGACCAGAACATCCTGGCCCACACTCCCATCTCTTTCCAGGGATGCCTTGGTTCTATGTCAGAAGTGACAGATAAGCCAAGGTTAATGATGCCTGCCATATAGCCTGGCTTTCCTATTGGATCAAGAGTGCCTAAGCAACTATACTTGTGATCCTATAGGTTGATTGTAGTTTGACTCACATTGTGATTCTGCTCTATAAAATACCCTTGGACAAAGAGCCTGGGTGGCAACCCACTTGGGGACCCCTCCTGTCTCAGGAGTCTTCTCTCAGTAGACCTTTCCCACTCTTTTTGGGGGGAGGGGTACCAGGGATCAAACTCAGGTCCTATGCCCATGAGAGGCAGGTGTAGGAACCACTGAGCTAAATCCCCGGCCTAACTTTTCCCACTCTTAACCTCCTATGTCTTTTGTCTTTTTTTTTTTTTTTTTTTTTTATTTTTTTTCTTTTCTTTTTTTTTTTGGTACCAGGGATTGAACTCGGGTACTTGCTCTTGCAAGGCAGACCACCGAACTGCTGAGCTAAAAATCCCCAGCCCCTGCATATCACTTTTTAATATAGTTTTTTCTTGATACAGGGAAAATACACAGAACTCATCTCAAAACTACTTTTAAAAATGAATGAATTTTAAAAAGTTAGGTGTATGAAATAGTATGCTGGGGCTGTCATAACATAATTCTACAGGCTGGGCATCTTTTTTTTTTTTTGGTTTTTTTGAGACAGGGTCTCACTATGTAGTGAAACTGACCTGGAACTCACTTGTAGCTCAGGCTGGTCGCAAACTCACAGCAATCCTCCTGCCTCAGCCTCCCGAGTGCTGGGATTACAGGTGTGCACCACCACGCCCGGCCAGACTGAGCATCTTAAAGAACAGAAGTTTGTTTTCTCACAGTTCTGGAATGTACAAGTCCAAGGTGGGGGTGTCACCAGATTTGGTTCCTTTGGAGGCCTCTTTGTAGCTTGCTATAGCTGCTTTCTCATGCTCTCTTCACATGGGCAACGCTAGGTCTGTGAGTCCTCCGTATCCTAGTCTCGTTTTATAAGGATACTATTCATTCTGTGTTAGGGCCCATCTGATCTCACTTTACTGTAATTTAACCTCCTACACCTTTGAACCTATTCTTCATTATCAGGAGACTAACTTGGCACATCTGACATCTAATAGGTTAGAAGTTATGACCCTATGACACAGTGGGTAAGAAAGTCAGACTCCAACTATAAGCCCAGCTTGGGAGGCCAAGGCGAGAGGATCGCCTTGAGTTCAAGGCCAGCCTGGGCTACATAGTCTGAACTACATAGTGAGACCCTGTCTCAAAAGAAGTCTTAGCTGCAGAAAGAGCTGGTGAGCAGGCTGGTTGCATGCCTGAGAACTGTAGTCACTGAATCTCCAGGACCCAGGGTGCCAGCCAGGCAGGTGAGCTGCAGGTGGAAAAGTGCAGCCTCTGCCCTTTAGAAAGACAGGGCCAGGACTAGGGTGTAGCACTTGCTTAGCACGTGAGGCCCTGAGTTTTTCCCCAGGCACCAAAACAAACAAACAAACCAAGTAGAAGCCTGAGTGTGTGACATCTGTGTCTTTCTTTGAAGTTGAATTCAGGGCAGTTTATGGAAAGGTTTCCGGAATACCTGCCAGCCAACCCCAGTACGAGCAAGGGTGGAGTTAAGACAGAACTAGGAATAAGAAAGGGAGAAAAATAAGAGAAGTCTGAAAGGGCCAAAGTGCAGCCCCAAACAGGAAGGGTGAGGGACGGGATCTAGTGCAGCACCAAACGGAAGGAAGAGGCAGGCAGGGACCCGGGACCCATTGACAGCCTGAAGAGGCTGAGGTGTAGCTAAGAGGGGTAAGTGTATGTGTGTGTGTATGAAGATGTGCAAGACTAGGTTTAGTCCCCGGCACCACACTGCGAAAACCCAGCCTGAATTCTAACTCAATACCAAATCCCCCACTCTGTATTCCATTTCTCACCAGTCAACACCTCTACACGCATACATACACACACCACAGAGCCGCAAGTATTGCTCCCGGGTCCGCCGGAGTGCACCCACGACCCAGCTTGGTCCCCCCCTAACAATGCTCACCACCCAGGTGCCTCTCGAGGAAAGCCCTCAAATATCGCGGCATTTCTCTCGCTCTTTCTACGTACGCTAAATGGAACGCAGTATCGCGAGAGCACTGGGACGGGTGCGCGGCCGTACAGCCCTCTGGGAGTTGTAGTCCACTTTTCGGCCTGCACGGAGGTGTCCTTCACTGGGTGAATTTTGGCACAAATCTTCGCTCTGTTCTTTGTATTGTCTGGAACTCTAGTCAAGGCCTGGCCTCTGGCCAGCTGCCTCTCCCCATCCCACACATTCACAGTATCTAGGACTTGAGCATTTCACACTGGGTATTTACCAAGCTCACCTGATAAATCAGATGCCACCATGCTGTAAGGACAAACAGAAACACAGAAAAATCTAGCCCACGGCCCTCCAGAGGGCCCTAAGCAACATGTCCAGCAGAAATGCCTTTCCTTGAAGTAGTGGGTTAAGGTGTATTTGCAGGTTGACTAGGACAGAGGACCAGAGTAGCTCTCCAGGCAGAGGCCACAGCACCGGCCAAGGGAAAGAGGCAGGAAAAAAGGGGCAGGGTGCATTTCCTCCCTTCACTGTCCAGCATTGGAGGCTCCCCAGATCGTTAGTTCACTGAGGCTGCTCAGCCCACAATAGGGTCCCAGCATGAGCACCAAGGAGGGGCTCCATGCTCCTCTCCTGCCTTGCTCAAATGACCATTGACAAGTATTGGCAAACCCCTTTAGAGACGAGTGCCCAAACTGCAACCAAAAACCCACTTATTTATCACCAAGTGTTAACACTGCAATTAAACCTAAACACTGAGGTTTTAGTTTTAGGAAAAACAATTCATACATTAGCATTTTTTGTCTTAAAAGAAAAACAAGTAACATGTATGCCACCACTGATCTATACCAAGCCAGCCCTGTCCCAATTTCCCTGCTGACTCCTATTTCTTCCTGGGGACCACATTCCCCTCCTTTAACAGGCAGCAGCCTCTGAGGAACTGCAAGGCCTAATCAAGGCCACCTCAGAGAAAGAACCACACAGAAGCATATGACTTTTGGTGGCAAGGAATGAATGACAAGGTTCAAAGCTACCCAACCTCCACACACCTGCCACAGCCCAAAGCTAGGCTCTGTGCAGGCCCCTATTAAGACAAATGACACACAGGACACAGGACCACATGTTCCCCTTTATTATGATTCACTCAGTTACCACAGACAGACATATTGGCTCAGGCAGGTCAACTGCCAGCCAGGGAATGGTCTGTGTCTCCCGGAAATGAGGGCAGTGGGCACCAGGAAAATGCAGAAGCAGGCTGCTGACTGGCCACAGACCTGTGGATTTCAGAACCAACTGGGCCCTCCTCCCCCTTCCTGGGTCAAGCTGGATCCATGCCTGGCCCCACTGCTCACATTGGTTCCCTCCCAGGAGGTGCATAGTTGCCAGGAGGTGCAGCATCCCAGGGCCTGAGCTAGCTGGGCCAGGTGTAGGAGACAGGCTTTCCCCAGGGCAGCGCCATGCCCAGCCATGTAGGTCTCAGCCAGGAAAGAGGAAGGCCAGGTGGGACAGGAAGTTGATTGGAGGGGATACCCAACAGATCACGGATGCTAGGCTGGCAGTTGGACCAGAGCACTCCAGAAAGGTAAAGGGAGCCAGAATTCTGGGGTGAGGAGAAGGAAAGGAGAGGCCCTGGTCCTAGGTCTTCTCAGGAAGCAGAGGCTGGGACAGCTGCTCTCCAGAGATAATGGCAGAGAAGAGAACCAATCACACCATGGGGCTCAAGCCTGAGGGACCATCAGGAAGAGAACTCTGCAGAGGACCTTAGCTCCTCTTATAGGGAAGTGAAGCCACTAGAAGCCCATGCTCAGGATGGCCTGAAAGCCCAGGTATTGAGCTCTATGTGGAGCCAGGGTGACCATCCAGCTAGAAAAAGGAGGGTGGGGACAGGCACTTGCCCCCTAGGTTAGTATACACACACACACACACACACACACACACACACACACACACCCTGCCAAAACCCCACTCAAAGCAGTGGCCACTCCCTGCTTGGAACAGAATAGCCTCGGGCCTGGACTCATCCCTGGAAAGTGGGGTGAGGAAAGGCCCGTAACCAAGCCCTGCAGGCAGAGAGGAGCAACTTAGCCAGATGTGAAAAAACAAAACTAAACTAACCCTCTCCTGCCTGCCTCACCAGAACCCCCCTTTTGGCCTTTGTGCTTACAGTGGGGATGGTGCCTAGTACTTCTTGCTGCACCTGAGTGTAAATGCCCAGGGATGTCCTGTGGATGGGAGCAAGTGGGGCAGAGGTATAGTCTCCCTTCTTGTAGGCTATGTCACCCTGTCCTCTGAGGTCCCCTCCCTCCTGCCAACCCAGCAGAACAGCTATGCTTCTGGACACCCAGTAGACATGCAGAGACTCCAGAAGCCCTGTGAGCCAGGGCTGGCCAGGCCTCTGCCATGGACCCATGATTATTTACAACCTCTGCTCCAGCTTCAAGGTACAGGTGACACTTGCACAGCGAGATCTGGCTCCTCAGAGGAGGCAGGGGAGGAGTGAGAATGCGTGTGTGTGTGTGTGTGTGTGTGTGTGTGTGTGTGTGTGTGTGTGTGTGTGTGTGTGTGTG